TGCTATTTCGGATAAAACACTATCACACCTTGCTACTAATAAAAAGTGAAGAAATAAAAACGGGGTCCTTTAGAAACTCGATTTCAATTCGCTAGATATTTTAAACGTCTGCTGATTAAGCTGTATTTAACGTATTTTATTTTTTAGATATAATATTGAATGTGCGTGGGCAATAGAATGAGCTAAGTTCGAGCTTTTCAGTGATATAAAGGTCATGGAAATATATTGAATTGGTCAGACGTAAGAACTTTCCAAACTATGATCAAATGTATAAAAGGGTCATTATTCGGGAAATTCAGCTAACAACAAAACGAGAATAAGAAATGGACACAAACACGGTGCTGAATCGCAAGAGCCCTGCTTGTGTCCCCTCCTTGTCCACGTCTTGTGCACTGAATTTGATGTCAATGATTACCAACTAGCTCAATTTTAAACCCACGTGAAAATTATTCCAGTTTGATTTTCTAAATTATTATAAAATACGAGATTCCTTTCAATTCATTAAGCATAACTCATTTTATTTTGAAGGTATCACGGAAAAGGCCCAGTGCAGTGGTTTGAGAAGTGGCTGAATATCGAGATGTCAAACATGCGTTCCCTAACAGGTTGAAAAGACGCCATTTTTTTGTTTGTTTTGTTAGCTGTCAATAACTTGAAAAAAGAAATCTGTCACGCTTGCACCTTGCACCCTGTTTTACTTCAAGAAAGCTCCTGAAACATATATTTTGTTGGTAAAAATCAAATATTCTGCCCCAAAACCTTGCCTCTAGGAGATGAAAACACCCGATATTTTTTTAAGTTGAGTGGAGCATGTAAGTACCATGACAAAAAACCTTATATGTATAATAAATTACTTTGTCTAATAAACGCATATGATCAAACAAGATCTAGTAAGAGCATACAAGAACCATACAAGAACATATAGGAACAATATACGATTATATAACATGTTATAAGAAACTTCATATCAGTTTCGAATAACTTCTTATATAACATGTTATAAGAAACTTCATATCAGTTTCGAATAACTTCTTATATAATCGTTTACTGTTCTTATATCTTCCTATATGGTTCTTGTATGCTCTTACAAGATCTTATTTGACCTTATGGGTTTATTGGCCGAAGAAATTTTTTATACATAGAGAATTTTTTACTAGGAGACGTTTGTTGCCATCTTTAAATGAGAAATTAAACGTAAGAAGCGAGGTTTTGGACTTGATCATGCGGCCGCCATTTTGTTGGAGGCTTTCCAAGATTATCTCCAGGGCAGCTTAAAGCACTTTAAGTTAATGTAGATGCGCGTATAGATCGTTGAATGATAACTTGAACATCGCACCGAACAAAGGTAAACATTTGTAATGTTTTTATTCATCTTTTTTGTGTGTGTGTCGTGGCATCGCAGCGTAATTAAGTCCAGTTTGACGAGCATTGGTGTCCTTTCACAGTAATATTTCACCTTGTCCGGTCCCTAGTTTTCCCAAATTTTCAATCAATAAAAAGAGTTAATTCTCTCGTAATGTATTTAGTTCTGACGGTTCTATTCAAATTCCGTACTTTTTTTATTTTTAAACGTAAATGCTGACACAATAAAAGCAATCAATGTTAACGGCATTTGACTCGAAAAATATGCGAGGGCGGACTCAAAAGTAGCCAGGATGAATTTCTGGAGGGCGGGCGTTCGTAGTACCCGCTTCCGCCGCTAGAAGCTTTTTCGAGGCGCCCCTTCCAAGTCCGTTTGCCGACCGGCATCGTTTCCCTGAGCGCTTCAAGGTCATTCCTCATTCTTCGCTTACGGTTGTAAAATTATGTTTTCTTTTAGGGGAAATTAACGGCGCAAACTTTTGTCATGCTCAAGACAGCTTACAAAGAAGGTGTCATGAAAAAATCGCAGGTCGACTTAGTCAACTAATAAAAACATCAAGAAAATTCGGGATTTTGTCTTGGCAGACCGTCCAAGACAGACTGAAGAACTTGCTGAACTGTGCAGAGCGTCTTGGAGTTTGTGTCAACGCATTTCGATCGAAAATTTGGACACGAAAAGAGTTTCAGCAAATTTCGTCCCTTGTTTGCTCACTGCTGATCAGAGACATATCCAAGTGAACGCTTGTCAACAGCTGAAAGAAAATGTGGAAATTAACTTAATCTTTTTTTTTTTTTCGCTTTTTTTTTGCTCGCTGCTCACTTAAGAAAACTTGCCTAGATTATAATAATCCGCCCGAGAATTGAATATGCTTTTGTTATTTGAGGTCCTAAACAGTCCTATATACGATTAATAACATTGAATCCCCGCAAATGATGCTGTTCGTGTCGTTGTTTCGTATTATTCATAGTTTTGCAATGTTGCAGAATTACAAAATGGTGTCCACTTGCACTCCGCCGGAACTCGCTCGTCTGTCACTCTTCCACAAACTTTATCATCGTGGCTCGCTTCACGATGATTTTTTCCAGGCTTAATTAAGCGTAGTACATACCACTCATCTCTTTATGCACAATCATATTTTACCTCGAAGAATAATACATTTGAATCACCTGCCAGCACACATAGGGACTAAAGATGATCTAACAAAACGTCAAGAACTCGTGCGCATTGACAACAACATCTATACTCGTTTTCACTTAGAGAAGAGTAGTAAAAAAATCTGGCTTCTCGCAGAGCACTACTAATGTCCCATTTATTCTAAAGGATTAAGGTATACGCAGGTGCATTTTAGGTTAGATATATGTGATCTTATCAAGACGTTGACATTTCAAACGCCAAAAACATCGCTATTCCGTCTGACAAGCAAATATCGTAAAAACTAATTCGAGCCGCGTATGAACAATGAGCAAAACTAGTTTTTTTCTTGAGGTGAAAACAGCTATAGGTGTTTTTATTTTTCCTTCTCTAGTTACCCGTACTAATATACAATGTTCATCGTTTTCGCCTGATTTTGTTCATGTTGTTCTGCAATCATACTTACAGTCATTACTTTCTGTATGCTTATGTTCCTCCCCCCCCCCCTCTTATATTACCCTCCCCTGGAGTGCCTTTAGGGGTATTTTGAATTTAAAAAGATGTAACTATTTTCGGCCATAGGGCATTTCTGCCTGACGGGGTCCATCCGCCATTCAGTCCAAGGCAGTATACACATGCACTATTTAAGGTGGTGGCAAAGGTTAAAGCAAGCAAGTAAACAACAGTCAAACAAAAACAGCAAAAATATATTTATATTTTTTGCGAGATTCTTAATTCCCGAAAAACAAAAAAATCCAGTCATCGTTTTCGCGTGTTTTGATTCATTTTGCTTTACAGTCATACCAACATTACCCACTTTCTGTGTTCTTAAACACTCCCAGACTCCTCCAGCCTATGTAATACCCAGCTTCCTCGGGGAACTTTTAAAAGTATTCTGCAAAAAAAGAAAGATTATTTGTATTTTTGCCGGCAATGGCGGTGAGGAGGCGGGGAAAATAAGCGTGCTGCCTGACGGGGTCCTTCCGCCTACTGTCCAAGGTAGTGTACGCAAGCACGTTTTAAGGTAGAACAACAAACATAAATAGTAAAAATGAATATAAATAAATATATATATATATATATTAGTTCTTAATTAACCCGAAAGAAATCGGTCCTTAGCTGGCGTTCCATATCCAACAATTATAAAATTGAGCGCGAGGTGGGCAAGGAAATGTATTTATAACACCGAATACGTACGCATATTGTCTATAAAATGAGAAAAAAAGACGCACTAAAAATGAGGGAAAAAAAAACAAATATAAATAGCTCGAAACAATAATACTTAATATGCATTAGTTCCATACTTTTAGGAAACTTATTATTAGAAAAAATATATATATATATACCATGCCCATGGAGGACGTTCGACGAATGAGGACGAAGGATTGATACCAAAACGAGAAGCGGAACTTGGGACGCCTCTTCGTTGGTAAGTTGCCACTGCCTCGCAACGTCTTAGGATAGGGTTACGCTTGATAAGGAGTTCGGGACGATATATAATCACCCGAAGCCTCCTTCGAAAGCTCAGAGGGAGTCAGGTCTCCGCTTGGACAGCCGGTCCTTTCCCGCATTTGGCATCCTTGCACGGTGAGTACCGAACGCTTCTCCTTGTCGCCTTTTATTTAAAACGCCGATAAACTGGGGGAGAGGTGGAGCCCAGAGCGTGCGGGGGACATCAGATAGCCGAGCTCTGATTGGTGTATTTAGTGGGTAGACCTAAAGCTAGTAGCTGCCTTTGTCTGCACTGCACTCGTCGAACACGTTTGAACGCTGAACGCCAGCGTCCGGCGTTTAGCTGTCGCATTCGAAAGCGTTCGACGAGTGCGGTGCAGACAAAGGCAGCTATAGCTTTAGGTCTACCCTCTAATCCCTCCAATCAGAAATCGGCGTTCCGATGCCTCCTCTCACCTCTTACTCTTTCTCAGTGCTTGGCGAATACAATCTAAAAAACAAAAAACAGGTGCGCCTATTCTTTTTTTTTTTTTTTGCATTCCACTTGCGAGAGTTAATTGCTACAACATCCGGAAAGACCTCAGCGAATGACGAAGCCGAAATATGTTTAGACTTTTAAAAAGACAGTCTGTGATGTTACACAAGGCATAAGGTTTCACCATGCTCAATGTCAAAGCGCAAAGTGTAGTTTTTTGTTTTGTTTTTTGTTATTTTTAGTTTTAAACATATTTTTTGCCTCATCATATGCAGAGCTATCTCCTTAAATTGCAGCAAATCTCTCTCAAAAGAGCTTTGGGGAAAAAAATATTTTTTTTTTGTTTCTTTCCCTAGGTGTGTAACATTAAAGCTAGGGTTCAGCATATTTATAAGCACGGCCGTTTATAATTTTCTATAAACTTTTCGTACTTATGTTCATCGTTTTAGAGTGATGGTATAAAAATTTTACCTGCCGCTCGCTCTCCAGGCTGCTTCTATATTGTTCCTGTATGTGGTTTTTTTATTCGCCTTCCTGTTCCTTTGTGTTTTTTTTAGGGATTCAAAGGCTTTTAAAAAAATGTTGAGGTTCGTGACCTTGCTTCTCGCTGCAAGCACATTTGGTAAGTCAAGATATTATTTCTTGTTAAGTCGCACACAAACACACACAAAAACAAAAACAAAAAAAAATGCGGCTGAAGAGCTTTCTGTAGATAAAATGCCGTCGCCACTTCTAACTGATCGATGTTTTTCTACGGAAAGCCTGTTGGTACGTATCAACCACACATTGCCGAAATACGGCTTTCAATGGTATATTCAAATACCTGTTACGGAAAACGGGGCAAAGCTGGGCTCCAGTTCCCCATTCCTTTTTTTTTTTTTTTTTTTTTCACAAATCACCCAATTTTTGGGTATGTTAGTGGCTACTTCTGAAACCTTGGCGTCTGTTTCGGAGTTGCAGCGCTACATTTGAACGCAAAATGAGCGTTTGCCGATGAGTAGTTTACTTTTGCGAGAAAAGAAGTATAAACTGTGTCATTTCTTTTTGTTCACGCCGTAGGCCAATGAACAAAAGTTGGAACACTCCTAGTTAGACTAGCGTCTATAACAGTCCTTAAGCCAACGACACTCGACTCAATCGTGATCGGCCGGAGAAACACGGCGGCGCTAGCCGCTAACGATCTTTTGGTTCAACTAAGCACGCCTACCTGAGTTAATTGATGGAGGTTCGCCTTGATAGAGCTCAGCATGGCGGCGTCCGTCATAAACATACAACATTTATTTATTGAAAGAGTAAATCCTCTTCACAGACTGTGGTGAAGGGTGCTTTTTGTTTCTCTAGGCAATGGGGCGACCGTGAATGACTTCAACGACCATGTTGACAAGACCGTTGGCAGGCATCAACCGTCTGACACTAGGAACAAACGTTCGCTTCATCTGGAGGCGCACATTCCCTTCCACAGCTTCACGGTAATGGAACATTATTACAGTGGACACAAGACGGGCTGCTCTAACTTGCACCGACCCTGTGCCGGTTTGCTGGTGAATGCGGGTGTCTCGCCCAGCGGTTAAAATAGCCACGAGAGAGAGTTCGAGGTCACATGACCGGCTCCCTAGGAACAAAAAACTAAAGTTAGCTAGCGTTCCAGGCAAATGGCTTCCGTAAGTCCGTTTTCGCTCTGAATATTCGAGTTCTCTTTTGCGCGTAGAAAGAGGTTGAAGGGGCTCGAAATGCACCCGATATTCTTTTTTTTCCGTAGCACGTATTTAGAAGGAGCTTGTAAAGTTGCTTCTGGGGCTTGTAAAGTTATTTCTGCGGAAGTTGTCGTAAAGTGGTAAATAAAGAAAAATACAGGCAATGCTTACGATTGTTGAACGAAATTGGCTGGAACGCTATAAGCGCGTTTCCCCACGGAGCTGGTCACCTGAATTCAGAATCCCCAGTAAACAGGCCCAGAAGGGTAGAGCGAAAACCAGTGTTGAAGTGAGTGCTTTAGCACACTAGAATCAATAAGGAGGGTTAAAATTCAATAGGACAAATACCTTCTTGCTTCTACCACGAACTTATACCCCATTCAAACGGTCAACATAAGGGTAACTTTAACATAGGTCCCTTTGCTATGGTCCCTTAGCTAAAGGTACTTTTACGGTCGTGTGAATGAGGTATAAAAGACTGGTTCACACATTTTTGTTTGAGTGCAGTCGAGCGCGTTGTGGTCTCTCTTCTTGACCACTTACGACGGGGAAACACAGAGGCACACTGGCGCCATCTATCAGGTTGCATCGGAAACTCTTTTGATCTTCTCGCAAGGTGCAAGATGTACGAGTGCAAGACATAAAAGGATACATTAGGGCTCGATAACATGTCACAGCCATCGCTGTGACTGTAATGTGGGCTCGCACAGGAATGCTCTTTTTTTCGTAATAGAAACTCCAAGCGAAGCACATCAGACGTCTTAGATTAGAAAAAATTTGGTGTGCGACTACGCAGAAGTGAAACGTCATGTTCAATGTCCTGGAGCGCATTGCATTTTTTGTTTCGTCTAATCGTATTCTGTGCTGCTCCAAGCGGTGCGATTCTGGTATACCGTTCTCGGCGATTTGTTTTCTCGTGCTCTACAGGAAAGTGAACACACATATCTTTTTTCTTTAGAGTGTATCGCATTTACTACTCTTTCTTGAGCAGCATAACTTGAGACCAACTTTTTTTTTTATATATAAAGGTTGAAAGCAACGGATTATTCAACGACGACCTAGAGGTGAAGCTAACGGATGGAGCAGTCAGAGGACTGGACGATGTGACTCGCCGTCTCAGAAGATGCTTCAGAACTACCTGCCTTGTTGATCTGAGAGGAATCGTGGTTTCATACATCGCACAGGTATGACAACCCACTTTCCTGAAGATGATATTGACGGTGGGATGGTACTATAGGAGGCGCTCTGTCCAGCTTAGTTGGCACAAAGCTCAGAGTTTACCCAACACAAAGCGTGCGGACTGAATTACTTTCTACAGCGTTCGGCGGGACTTGCGCTGATTGGGTGCTTCCCTGATCGAATACGAACCCCAACCAAACGTTGACAGAGCGTTCGGTTACGTCAGAAGAGCGCTGCGCCAGAAACACAAACGAATAATTCGTGTTGTTCCTGTCCCCACAGGTTTACTTCCCAACTTAGCACCTAGGGGCGCGACTGTTGGATCTGCTTCCCAATACACAGTTCGCCCCTAAAGGGGAATTCATACGGTGGAGCTCCCGCGGGGAGGGATGTGCTTGTTGTGAGCAATCGGCGGAACCAGCGGTGCTCTCTCCCCGGATCTAGCGTACACACGACGGAGCTAAGAGGGGTGTCAGTGTTATCAGACGCATTTATCGGTCGCAAACTCAACAACAAGGCCGGGTGCGCGCTACCGAGAGTAAAACAATTGAGGCGTACATGCAACGGCGATACGCGATTACGACAGCAGCAGCTATTAGTTGCAGATGATGACGAACTGCTTCCTGCCAAAAAGGATGATTCTTGAATGGGCAAGCGAGCAAGAGAAAACGCTGTAAAGTTGCCAGACAGGCGAACTAAATACCGCCAATTCCAAAGAAGTCTCCCGCGGGGATGTTTGTGCAGCCAGAACAAAAGCTGCCCCATCTCCCTGGGATGTCTACACAGCGTGGCTCTGCAAAAAGACGTGACGTTCTTATCACTTGATGTGCACTCGGGGAAGAAAAGGAAGGGATCTCTCCTTCATCTCAATACCGCCCCTTAATCTAACAGTACGGTGGAAGCGACGTCCTCGCAGGGCCAGCTAAGCGCCCATATATCGCCTCACTGACCCCGCTTATACTTAGGCGTGGAGAGCTGAGTCACGTGACGAAACGGAAGCTTTGATCGTCCTAATTCAAACTTCTATTATAACGTAACTAGAGGGGTGATCAGCCATATTCGCGGACTGCTTCTGAAACGTGCTGCTAGTCCCCTGCTAGACCCGAGCATCGAAGTTTCGCTCCTCAGCCAATCAGGTGGCGGCATTAGCCAATTAGAATGCCGAGAATGATTTACGAAGCAAGACGCGTGAACATAATACGCCCTGCATCTTTTAAACAGTCAGAGATTATAGGACAACTGACGTGTTACTGCACACGAGAAGACAAGATGAACGCGAGTAGTAAACATAAGAGATAAAAAAATCTTAAAGGGGCGAAGAAGTGTTCCTGCTTTCACTAAATGTATCACTTAGGATTGTTCCTCGACATTCATAACCGATGAAACACGCGTTCGTTTACTCCTGCTAGCAGTGGCAGTCGCAGGCAAAAGACGAACTTTCAGCCATTCCACTCTGCTCAAGGAGGAGGCCCAGTGGAGCCGTTATCTCTATGACGTCTAGGACGATGCTTAGAGCACGACTTCTAGAACGACGCCTAGAAAAATTCAGCTTTCCCACTCTGGTGAAAACCAGAGTGGAAAGGTTGCCGCCGTCGCTCATAGATGGCGGTAGTTGCCTGGAATTCTGTGTCCACACGCGGCTTGTCGCAGACACGATTCTGGGGAAACTAGCCCTTTACAGCTCCGCTGTTAAAAATTGAGGAAAACGCACAGTGTTTACCCCCTGAACTCGAAGGCAAAAGGAGCGGCCACGTAATCTGGAGCCGATTAAATGCCGTCAGTGTTTAACATAGCCACGCGCTGGAGTTAGAAAAGCACTGGGAGTGCGCTGAGTTCGTGCACGGCATCGTTAAGGTTCGGCTATTCTCGTCGTCGTGGCCACTGAGCACGAGCCACTACCCGAATGCATGTCCAAGCATTGATTCTTACTTGTCGAAATGGAACGTCGACGCAGTGCTAGAGTGCACGGCATTAGCCGCATTTAAATATCATCAACGCTGAGATCACAAAGCTCGATAAAAACTTCCAAGAAACGTATTGTTGGCGTTCTCGCCGTCATCACGTTCTGCGAATAGATTCAACGAAAACATCAACTTTTGTTTTTCAAATTCTACCGCGACGAAGGCGTTTCTCTTTCAGTGGCGTCGCGTTCGGGTATTCTTTGGTCCCTATAGTGCAAGTAAGTTTATGGAAAGCGAGAGGCATTCCTACCCAATATCGCTGCACCGTCCCTTTAAAAAGTGTACGACGCCAACTTTTGCCAACGAACGAGCATACGACGCCCAGAGCCGGCGTCTTTGGAACTGCAGTTCCTTGTTGTTACCGCGCCTGTTTTTGTTTCTGCGACTGTCGCCGCCTGCGGAACGCGCTCCGCTTTTGACTCGAAAAGTTCGTCTGCTAAAGACGCCGGCTCTCGGCACCGTACGCTCGTTCGTTGGCGGCGTTCGTTGCGCCATCTCTTGTCTCCCGTGCGAAACGGCGCCGTGTTGTTTGCAGACCGGTGGCGTCGCTGCGTTTCCATAGGAGCTAAGCCTTTTTCTTTCTTTAATTTTTCCTCAGGTAAAATCGCTCTATAGAAATTTTACAAAAAAAACAAAACAAAACAAAAACACCATCTGTGGGCAACGCTGCACAAAGTCGTAGCGCGATAGGTTAAGAAACCGAATTTTTTGGTCGATTTAAAGAGCCTGGCCTCTTTTTGAATCACCCTGTATATAAACGAGTCCAATAAAACTATGGTGCCTGGAACAGGTCTCCGACCGGTGGTGTGTTTACCGCGTCCAAGAAAGTGGTCCCTCAATTTCCGCCCGATGACGTCAGAGAAGTGCCATGATATCGCCGGTCGCGATCCTGGCGGCGTCTCACTAGCTTTGATGTATGTGGCAGACGCCTGTTCTGCTGTAGCTCGCTCTCCAGTGTGGCAGTCCACGGAAGCTTCGGCAGCCAGACATTGGGACGCCGTGACTACAGCGACATTCGCGTTCGGTCGTGCTACTAGTAGCTTCTCGTTAGCATTTCTACTACCAACCGCCAGGATCGCGACATGCAACAGCATGACACTTAGGCTTCTGTGACGTCATTTGTTGCCACTTCGGAACCATCTTTGATGTATGGGCAGCATAGGACACTAAACACACCAGTCGGAGATGGGCTCCAGGTACCGTAATGAAACGCCCAGTCTCTGGTTACCGTTCGTCTTCTCTTATTCTAATTGTCCTTGTCTTTAGGGCGATATCATAGCTTTTTGCAATCTTAAAAATTGGTGGGTGCAGAAATGTACTATGCTGCATAAATTTACGCGTAACTACTTGTGTTTGGCACAATAAACGAGAGGGAGGTCTATAGATGTGGAATCGTAGAGGCCGTGCCCTGTTGTGTCCCTTGTGGCAGCTGCCGATACGTCCTCGGACTCGTGCCGCATAACGACGACGGGTACGTAAGAAGGGAATGCCCATGGCTCGGAGTCCGGTAGAGGCAACTTTGCGCCCTCTTCCAAGGACGCATTTTAGAACACTTGCTCGTTCTTGTAACCTAGCTGATCACACTCTCTCTCTCTCTCTCTCATTGTCTCTCTTTGCTTCCAGACTCAAGGGGACGACATGGCTGGAACGGTCAAGCACATCTGGGTAAAAGTAAAGGTCACGAGCGCAGAAGCTTTGTTCAACATGAACGATATCAGAGCCAGGGAGGCTAGCCTAAACTCCTTGGTCATCGGCCCCATCTCGGTTAGCACCACTTACGATGCCTACCTCGATCTCAACTCTGGACGGCGCAACGAGTTTGCGGATGAGGTGGCAAGTTACACCGGCTGGGAGCTTCTCAAGATCCTTCGTGGGAGCTACTTGGCGGCTCTTCAGGAGACCTTCGCTGACCAGTGAATAAACTATGACAGTTCGCTCTGACATGCCTAGATTAAGATGGAACGAGTTTGCTTACGCAATTTTGGGAGGGAGGAATGACGGGGATGGGCCTGAAAGGATTTGTGACCGATTCTGGCAGCGCACAGCAGCTCGACAAATTTAGCGGTGTTAGAAATCGTGAGGTGTTAAAAGTACCTCGAAACGCAACTAATGACAGCTTAAGGACCGCAGGGGATGTTCACGCTTTTTTCGAACAAAAAGAATGAAACGCCGAATTGGACGAAGGACAGACGCTTGCCGTTCATTCATGCGACATGGGAAGATGGAACTTGGACAGAACAGACAAAGCTCTAAATGAAGAATTAAGTACACAAGCGCGTTGTATATATAGTTCACGCAGAGGGAATTAAACGCTGAAATGGACGAAGGAGAGACACTCAATGTTCTTTCAAACTTGAAAGTTGAAATGCAGTTGAAAGAGCTGCGTATGTCTCTCATTCGTTCATTTCAGTGTTTTATTTCTTCTGTGTGAACTGTAGTTTATTCAACGCGCTCTGCTGCGTGCAGTTTGCGCCTTTTGCTTACAGATTCGTTCTTTGGCGTTTTTATCTGTTAACGCGGAAATATCATTGGTTGGTAAGCAGTGATAAGATGACAGGCACTCGCAGCGCCTTCCGTTTTTGAGCTGGCACTGACTGTAGTTGATTAGGTAGTTACAGTTGTCTAATTGGCGTTTATTGTAACACAACAGTACAAAAGCCTAGATTCTCTCCTATTTCGTTTCATTGTGTTTACCTTGCGTAGGTACTTTATTCATGGCGTCAGAAAAATAATGACTCGCTTCAAAACAATTTGTTTTTTCGAATGTCGGGCTTTTTGATTTTGCTTCTTCGCACACTGCGCGAGACTGTTAGCGCGAACACAACATCGACGTTTTCTCACAATTCGCTCCGAAAGAGTACTAGCTGTCATAAATATTCACCTCGCACGTTAGTACCCTACTGAGCAGTTTGCACCCCTATTCGTTCTTTGTCGCGTGAGTTGGAACCTGGTGGAGCCAGTGTGCAAATAGCCCCCAACCACTTCACCACTTCCGCTTCTGAACTAGCCGGCGGGTTTCGCAGTATTTGCGCAATCAAATATACACGCTAACTTCTGCAAATAGTCACTTATAGCACTTTAATTCACTCTTACGATTAAAGAATGATGAGTAAAAATTAGGAAATATACGCGAACCGGGACTGTGACGGGGCTATTCAATAGATGACGCCACTGAGTTTCTTGCGAAAGAAAAAAATGGCCAATAGGGGTTTTGATGACATTCCTTCAATACTAGAACGAAAAACAGAAAAAATGGCGATGACTTGTTCGCGCTAACAACGTTGGGGAGTTTACCTGAAAATAAATTAGTTGATAACGAAGTTACTTTTTTTAATATGACGTTTACGGTAAAAGAATCCGAACCGAAACATAGGTATATTTAAGGTGGTATGTTGGGGCAGTTGCTGATTGTTGTCAATGATGATATGACCGGGTTTAAAACATCTTGCTTTTCGAGAGTCGGAGTTTTGATTCGGCTTGTACGTGCCTGTTGTTCTCGAAAACAAACACAACAAATGGCTTGCATTTCAGCAAAGAAATGTTTTTATGGTCACAAAAGCAATCCGGAAGTTTTTACCTGTTCCTTTTTTACACCATTTACGAATACATGAAGGTATAAAACATTTACGACAGGGACGGAAACAGGACTTCTTTGATTGAGCAACAACATACAATGGCACAAGAAATAAAAACCGCCCCCCAAAGGATACGTTCTCGAAGAAGGAAGGGAGAAAATTATTAAAAAGAAAAGGGAATTTACTATAAATATGAAGTTTAAAAAGCGATGGCATCACGATGAGGTGTCAGTATTCGTGTCATTTCTGATGTTAGGAATCCGACCTCTTTCTTTGTTAGTGATAATGAAGCAAAGAAATTGTTTTTGACAGTCCCCATGGCAAATGATTCAATAATTTCTCTCCCAAATTTGTTGATGTTCCCGCCCAGTCAGTATTCTAGTATCAAAGAAATAAGGAATACGGTCATCGCACGTGCGGCTGTGAATGACGACTGGGTGAAACGACTCATCTGAAGCCTTTGATACTTCCAAGTTGTGTTCTCTGAGTCGATGGTTGGCGCATCTCCCAGTTTGTCCGATGTACTGACTGCCGCAGCTTAGTGGAATTGAATGAACCGTTCTTTCTTCAAACTCTACGAACTGTCTGGCATCTTTTACATTGCACCCTCTGAGACTATCACTCCCATTAACCTTTTTACACATCCGTTTTAAGCGCATATGACAGGTAAAAACCACACTGGTGTCGAACTTGGACGCGATAGATCTTACACAGTGCGCTGAATTCTGCACGTAGGGAATCACGGCGAGGCGACCTTTCTTTTAGGGAACAGCTGGCGGAAGTTGTAGTCTGAGAATGAATCTCTTAAGAGTGAAACGAAGTAGGTCCGCAGGAAAGCCTGCTTTCTCCAAACTTTGATGCTACAACTTGAAGCTACCTTCGGAGAAATGCTTACAGGATTGGGAGAACGCGGACTTGAAATGTGACCTCACTATGCCATGCTTCACTGACTTGGAGTGAACACTGGTAAAAGGGAGAACTAGCTTCTCAGATCCTTGCTGGAAGGGCCAACAAAGACCTGAGGAATGATGATGTAACCGTAAATCCAGGGATTGTAATCCTTCCTTGGAATGATTTTTCCGCGTAAAAGTTAGTCCCACTGCACAGTCATTGAAAACTTCAAAGACGCTGTCAGCGGACACAACGTCTGGATAAATGACCAAGTAATCGTCGACATACTTAAACACTAGGCAACCCTGAAAGGACTTGTCCAGCTGATCGTTGATAGACCTGTCAACAAAACGAAGAAATATTTCACTATGGGCAAGGGCAAGACAAGAACCTATACAAACTTCTTTCTTTTGTCTGTAAACCTTTCCCTCATATTTTATTGAAGTGGACTGCGAATAAATAATTTTCAGGTCGATAAAGCCGTCAACCGAAACACCGGAGGAATTTCGAAACTCGCAAATTCCGTGTTCATGAAACGTATTAGTCACAGAATCTAAGATGGGTTTTGGTTTTAGACTGTAGTACATATCTTCAATGTCCAAAGATATAATTTAATGCGGAATGGAACTTCGTACTCCACATTACCAGAGATTTAGAGAAAAAAGAAAGGAGTTTGCATAGGCCCTTTCCTTGCACCTGTCCTTAGTGGAATACTTCTCCTTTCTGTTGACAGGGTTATGAACGATCAGCTGGACAGGTAGTTCCAGGGGTGCCTAGTGTTAAAGTATGTCGACGATTACTTGGTCATTTATCCAGACGTTGTGTCCGCTGACAGCATCTTTAAACCTTTTCAGTGACTGTGCAGCGGACTAACTTTTACGCGGAAAAATCCTTCGAAGGAAGGGTTACAATCCCTGGTTTTAAGGTTACATCATCATTCCTCAGGTCTTTGTTGGCCCTTCCAGCAAGAATCTGAGAAGCTAGTCCTCCCTTTCACCAGTGCTCACTCTAAGTCAGTGAAGCATGGCATAGTGAGGTCACATTTCAAGTCCGCATTCTACCAGTCGTATAAGCATTTCTCCAAAAGTAGCCTCAAGTTGCAGCATCGGAGGTTGGAGAAAGCAGGCTTTCCTGCTGAGCTACTTTGTTTCACACATAGAGAGATTTACTCTCAGCCCACAATTTCCGCAAGTTGTTCCCAAAAAGAAAGGTCGCTTCGCTGTGATTCCCGACATGCACAATTCCGCGCACCGTTTAAGATCTATCGCGACCAAGTTCGACACCAGAGTGGTTTTTTCCTATCGTGTGCGCCTAAAACAGATGTGAAAATAGATCAATTGGGTGCGACTGCCCCAGAGGGTGCAAAGTAAAACAGGCCAAAAAGTTCGTAGAGTCCGAAGAAAAAAATTATATTCAATTCCACTAAGCTGCGGCAGTGAGAAAATTGTAAAAACTGGGAGATGCGTCAGGCATCGACTCAGAGAACACAACTTGGAAGCATCAAAAGCTTCAGATGAGTCTTTTTACCCAATCGTCATTCACAGCCGCACGTGCGATGACCGTATTCCTTATTTTTCTGATACTAGAATACTGGCTAGGCGGGCACATCAACAGATTTGGGAGAGAAATCATTGAATCATTCGCCATGGGGACTGTCAACAACAACATTTTTTTTACCTTCATTATCACTGGCAAAGACAGAGGTCGGATTCCTAACATCAGAGATGACAAGATTACTGACACCTCGTCGTGACGCCACCGTTTTTTAAGCTTCTATACTTATAGTAAAGTCCCTTTCCTGTTTATCAATTTTCTCCTTTCCTTCTTCGAGAATTTTGAAACGTTTTTTTCTTGGACGGGGTGGGGGGCGGTTTTTATACGTTGTGCCATTTTATGTTGCTGCTCAATGAAAGAAGTCCTGTTTACGTCCCCGTCCTAAATGTCTTATCCTTTCAAGTATTCGTAAATTGTGGGAAAAAGTAAAAAGTAAAAACTTTCGAATTGCTTTTATTACCATGAAAACATTTGTTTGCGGAAATGCAGGCCGTTTGTTGTGTTTGTCGAGAACAACGCGTACGCACAAGCCGAATCAAAATTCCGACTCTCGATAAGCAAGATGTTTTAAAACCGGTCATATCATCATGTACAACGACAACATATTGGGTCAGCAACTGGCCCAACATACCACCCTAAATAGAACCATGCTGCTGTTCGGATTCTATTACCGTAAACGTCATATAAGAAAAAGTAACTGCGTGACCAACTAATTCCTTTGCAGGTACGCTCCCCGACGTTATTAGCACGAACAAGTCATTGCCGTTTTTTTATGTTTTTACTGTAGTATCAAAGTAATGTCATCAAAACCCCTATTGGCCCCTTTTTTATTTCGGAACAAACTGGCGCCACATATTGGCTAGCCCCGGCGTACGTGCGGTTCGCGTATATTTCCTA